TCTTTAAAATTTGCACATTTTATTGAAACTTTGCACAATCTATCCACCGTGTATGGGACAACAGCATAACTGTACTTCATGATTACCTCCTATTTTCTCCCTTTTTCTTTTTGAAAGCAAGGGAATAGTTTAAGGCTACAGGTTTAGGAGGAGAATAAGGCCATTTGGTCCATCATGTCCATTGCCCCATCCAGTAAAAACATGGCTGATCTGATCATCCTCAATCCCACTTTCCTGCCCTTTCCTTGATTCCCTTGCCAATTAAAAATCCCTGCCTCAGCCTTGAATATTCTTAATGACCCAGCTTTGACCTCCCTCCCCCTCACAGTAAAGAATTCCAAAGATTCACTACCCTCACAGAAGAAATTCCTCTTCATCTTTCACTTGAATTAGTAACCCTGAGAGATGTCCTTTGGTTCTAAACTCAACCACGAGGAGAAGCAACCTCTCCCCATCCACTTTGTCAAGCTAAGAATTTTACGTGTTTCATTTACATTGCCTCTAATTTTTGTAAACTCCAATGAGTAAAGGCCCAACCTACTCAACTTCTCTTCGTAAGAAAATTTCTCCACACCCAACGTCAATGTTATGAACCTTCTCTGGACTGCCTTCAATCACAATATATCTTGTCTTGGATAAGGGGACCAAAACTGTTCACGATATTCCAGGTGTGGTCTGACCTTTGCCTGGTACAGTTTAAGCAAGACTTCCCTGTTTACTGTATTGAATTCCCTTTGAAATAAAAGCCAACATTCTGTTTGCTTTTCCTATTACCTGCTGAACTTTAAATATCTCTGTCATTCTCCATGTATAAGCTAGGAACCATGTAGCACATTGACATGGCAGAAAGTGGTACTGTCTACTATTGTTGTCATTTTAATGTGAACCCAAGTACTTTGCAGAAAGTGAAGTGGGAATCTGATGATTATGTATTCAATTCTTTGGGCCGTTTGGGGGTAATTTTAGTGTCGCCGCTCCTACTGACTAAAATCATTCATTTAATTCAATAAAAACTAAGATTTAAATTTGAATTTTATGCGTCAAAAAACCCTATTCCGAGACGCTACCAACCTAGACTGGACAACAGACTTAGAACGAGCCATTAACGTCAGCCAACAGATAACAAGAACCAAGAAAAGACAGATCCTATAAGAAAAATTAGCCAAACTAACCCACCCAAAGGACAACCATAGATCAGACACTTGGATAAGAAACCTTTCAGACAAGAAGATAACAGACACAGAGAAAGCTCTTCTAATATTTGGACTCAACTGCAACCACAGAGACGCTAACCAGACAGAATTTTTAGCCACGCTAGAAGCCATACTGAAGACCAACGGCATCAATGAGGAAACAACAAGCCATAAGACATAGTGGTCCTGACACTGGCCAGAAGGAGCAAACTTGACACTCTCAACACATCAGAAAGGAAGGTCCTAGAAGGATTGAAAAAAGACAAAAACATCATCATACTACCAACGGACAAAGGGCGCATGACAGTAATACTAAACAAACGGGACTCCCTCACTAAAGCACAGACACTACTAGCAGACACAAACACATACCGGCAAGTGCAAATGGACCCAAAACTGCAACTGGGTAATAAAATAATCCACACACTAAAGAGACTCAAACAGACCAGACGAATCAACAAAACGGATTATCTAAAAACCAGAAGGGGCAAACATCCCCCCCCCCCCCCCCCCGATCCCCCAATTCTATGGCCTCCCAAAGGTGCATAAACCAGAAATACCCCTCAGACCCATAGTGTCACTCCCAGGCACACCAACACACAGGTTAGCCGAGAGTTACAACGAAGACTAAAGCACCTCATCAGCAAGTCACCCCACTCAATTCACTCAGCCCAGGAGTTCCTCAAATCCCTCAAAGACATAAGAATGGATGGGGATGAGACCACGGTGTCCTTTGACATTACCGTCCTATTCACATTGATTGATATACCACTGGCAAGAGAAACACTAGCAACACTACTGAAAGAACGAGACCCGAGTGACACCAGTTCCACAGACAACATGCTGAAGCTACTGGGCCTATTCCTCATGACCCACTTTACCTTTAATGGCCAAATCTACGAATAGATCAATGGGACACCCAGGGGGTCACCAATCTCCAGACCAAAGCAGAAGCAGTGATGCAGAACCTCAAAAGCATAGCCCTTCCACAAAACCAACCCAAACTATGGATCCAATACATGGACAACATTTTCATCATCGTTGAACGGACCAAACTAGAGGAGACACATCGACTAATAAACAACACTTTCACCGGCATCAAATTCACCAGGGAAAAGGAAAAGAACGAACAGCTCCCATTCCTGGACGTCATGGCAGAACGCAGAGCCAATGGGGAATTCCTGACGAAGGTACACAGAAAAGCCACACACACTGATCAAGTACTGAATTTCAACAGTAACCACGTCAACACCCACAAACGAAGTTGCATGAAAACACTATTTAAACAAGCGACAAAACACTGTAGCAACCCAGAATTACGCCAAAACAAAGAGTACCTTCACCAAGTATTTAAGGACAACGGTACCCGAATAACTGGATCCGACAATGCCTATCCCACAAACAACAACAGGAAGATGCTGCACGCCCTAACACGCTCATCAGGCTACCATATATCAAGAATATATCTGAACTGACCACAAGACACCTACGACCATTGGGCATTGGAGTAGCACACAAACCCACATCATCCCTACGCCAACTGCCAACTCGAACCAAAGACCCCTTACCCACTATGGACAGAACCAATGTATTATACAAAATTCCATGCAAGGACTGTGACAAACGTTACATTGGACAGATAGGAAGAAAATTGGCCACAAGAGTACATGAACACCAACTAGCAACAAAAAGACACAACCAATACATGGATGGAAAATATCCAACATGGTGCTCAGTTATGAGTGGTGTACCACAAGGATCAGTTCTGGGTCCTCTTCTATTTGTGAATTTTGTAAATGATTTGGATGAAGGAGTGGAAGGGTGGATTAGTAAGTTCGCGGACGATACGAAGGTGGGTCAAGTTGTGGATAGTGCGGAGGGCTGTTCTCGGTTACAAAGGGACATTGATAGGATGCAGAGCTGGGCTGAGAAGTGGCAGATGGAGTTTAACCCTGCAAAGTGTGAGGTGATTCATTTTGGAAGGACAAACTTGAAAGCGGAATACAGGGTTAAGGGAAAGATTCTTGGCAATGTGGCAGAGCAGAGGGATCTTGGGGTTCGTGTCCACAGTTCCCTGAAAGCTGCCACCCAGGTGGATAGAGTTGTTAAGAAGGTGTATGGTGTGTTAGCTTTCATTAATAGAAGGATTGAGTTCAAGAGCCGTGAAGTTATGCTGGCGAGGGTAGTGGAGTCGGCCTTATTAGGGGCATTTATGCTGCTATTAGATAGGCATATGGATGATAATATAAGGTAGGGGTGGAGGTTAGATAGACCTTAGGATTAGGGTAAAAGTTCGGCACCACATCATAGGCCGAAGGGCCTGTACTGTGCTGTACTATTCTATGTTCTATGTTCTAATACTCACCCATCTCCATTCACATGGATAAGGAGGACCACCAGTTTGTTTGGCACAACACCAGGCTCCTAGGACAGTCCAAACAGAGACAAGCACGGCAATTTCTAGAGGACACCAAGAAGGCCATCAACAAACACATAGAACTAGACCCTATATATACACCACTGCAAAGGAAAACCGGAAATGAGGTAATCAAATCCAATGGACCCCAGAGTTTAAATACCAGGCAGGAAAACACAGCTTCATTGGAAGCTGCACTGATGATGTTACCCAGCAGGATAAAGAAACATCTGTGAACCAATGAACCAGCTTGGCGAGTGAACCAACCACAGCAAATTTGAAGGCTTCTCATCTGCATGTCTTGGCCACAACTACACAGCATATTTACCCACAATATTTATTTGGGTTCTCTAATTCTAATATACTTCTGTATATATAATAAAATTGCATAGTTTTACAAAAATGATCATTTATACTTTCTGTACTTAATGTAATCAGTACAGCTACGTAATCAAGCTCTGAGCAGTTGAATTTAGAACAGCTGATTAAAGGCATTATCAAAAAGCACGGTTTGTAGAGTCGTTTGTATGGAATTTCAGTCCTTTGGCATAAACTGTGAAAATGGTTGGGTTGAAGTTTGTGGCTTAATGTTTGGGACCTTTTAATTTATATTTTCACACTCCTGATTTTATTTCATCAGCTTTGTGCAACAGATTAATGTCACAGTGAATCTGTGACTTTTAACAGCAGGAGATGAATTATGAATTCTCTTCTGCATAAAGATGACACAACCAATAATGCAGCAGACAATGGATGGATCTTGCCAAGCATGAGACAGCTAAGTTTGACTGATGGTGCCTGTTTAGTGTGCATGTGTTGGTTTGCCATGCTCAGAAATATAGTGGCTGCTCTTGTGGTTCACAGTGTGAGTCTTTAGTTGATGTGTTTCGACCGGAATATGCTTTATAGTTTACATTGTTCAGCATAATGAGATATTTTCAACTTGAAGCAGAGGAAAACTCGGGTTCTATGTATAAATTGTGGCTGATCTAATATTTAAGCACGGGTTTGAAGGTGCACAGTCCATCTCAGCTTTTTCTTTCTTACCTAGTATGTACCACTGATTTTAGTCATAAAGTTAAGAGGGAATATGGGAGGAAAGAAAGGATTGAACTTAATCGACTTGAAAACTGTGTTAGTTTCTCTACTTCTAATATTTCTTACAAGATGATATGCTTTCTGGATTTGTAGGAAACCAATGTGTTAAATTCTATCTTTTGTTTAATTCAAAGATATGCTCCCCCCCAGTAAACTTCCAGTTAGAATACTTTGCTTCTTTATTGTCTCGCACCTGAACTTCGAAAGCCACAGTAGAAGGAATTATGAGACTGTGTTACTTAATATTTTGTTTAGATGACTAAAAAGAATTGTATAATTTGTTTAATCTTCAGAAATCCAAGAATATGCTCGTGAGATAGGAATTGATCCTGAAAATGAGCCAGAGCTTATGTGGTTAGCAAGAGAAGGTATTGTGGCGCCTTTGCCCCAGGAATGGAAACCCTGGTAAGTTGATAGAAGACCAGTTGAGTTTTCATATGATTTAAGTGAAATAAAAAAATGTGGAAGTGAAAAATATACAACAATATTATTATACGTTATGTCTTCCAAACTTGGATATTGTCAAATGAGGGAATTTTGGATTATGTAATATTGATAATTATATTTGTTGCTGATAGTGATAATAGTGACAGCAAATTGAATGGTTGATGTATACTTATACAGTAGTGAAATGAAGGATTTTTTACTGTAGCTTATTATCACAGTACTAAATATGCCTAGAGACTACAAACCTGCCCCTGCACATGTAGAATTCTCAGACATTATGAACTTCCTTCTGTTAACATTCCAATCGCATGCAATATTGCAAGACCAAATTCTTCTGTCTCTATCATTTGAAATGAAGAGTAATCTTGTTAACCACTAAGGCTTGCTCACCCAATTTGATCGCTGTGACAAATCTTACTTAGCCACTCCTCTCCAATTCTTTTAATATCCTTCCCAAGTAAGTAGCTAAACATCTCAATTGATTTTACATTAAGAACACGACGTTTCACATTCTAACAACCTTTAATGATGAAAGACTAAGAACTGGACAGGAGCAACGGGATTTAGGTATCAATGAACACAAATCCCCTGAGGGTGATGTGCATGTAAAAAAGGCTGATGGAATATTGCTTTTATTTCAGGTGGTTGCAACAAAATGGGAAAGAAGTTATGCTTCAGTTGTGTCAGGCCATGGTCGGATGCATTCGAGTACTATATTCAGTTCTAGATATGATAGTTCTGGACAGTTTGTACAGTGGGGTTTATAAAGTTATATAAATTTGAAGTATGTTCCTTTCATCTTAGATGGTAGAACAGAGCATGTAGTTGAGGTATTTTAAAAACAAAAGGAATTAGAAAGGGTAGGCATGGAGAAACTATTTTCTTCTGGTGGACCAAGCAAATTGGTGCAATTTTAAAATGAGATCTCAACCGTTCAGGGGCGCTGTTATGAAACACTTTGTCTTAGAAATTTGGAACTTTTTGTTCACTGCTGCCACCTCCTTCTGCTCAAAAAAGCCCTGCCTCCACCCAAAAGCTTTGGATGCTAAGTTTGTTGGGCAAGGTTATCAAGGATGGGCTACTTAAGTTGAGGTACAGATCTGCCATAATGTGACTTAGTAGTGGAACAGCTTAATGGTCTGAATGGCACCCTGTTGCCTCTATGTAAGAATAGTACTGACCCTGATTTATGTAATGTATCTTGGCTATTTTTTAAACATCTCTGTGGTCATCACATTGCTAAGGTGGGACTTGAACCTGGACCTTCTGGCCCAGACATCAGGTAACTTGCAATAACACAGTGTGGAGCTGGAGGAACAGAGCAGGCCAGGCAGCATCAGAGGAGCAGGAAAGCTGACATTTCAGATCAGGACTCTTCTTCAGAACACCAACTTTCCTGCTCCTCTGATGCTGCCTGGCCTGCTGTGTTCCTCCAGCTCCACACTGTGTTATCTCAGACTCCAGCATCGGCAGTTCTTACTGTCTTTATTAGGTAACTTGTGCTGCACCACACGACCCTTTTTGTGCTTGGGCATTTTAGGTACATTGACTCATTGTTTAAAACACGTTTCTGTTGTTTTTCTACCTTCCTACAGTTTTGGAAGAAAAATGTTGCATATATAAACAATGTGAAGTCAGCTGTTCTTTATGAATGGGTATTCCCTTTTACCCATTAATTCCTGCTCAAGGATTCAGACATTCACGTTTGCGACAGTAAATCCCTTGTTAGCAGGCTTTGTAGATTAATGACAGAATGAATATACCAGAATTTGCCAGACTTGGGTCATGTGTCTGGCTGTACTGCTCAGTTATGCACTATGTTAGAGCTATAAAGTCATAGAGTCCTTCAGCATGGAGACAGGCCCTTCAGCCCAAACGGATCCACGCCAACCAAAATGTCCATCCATGCTAACCCCATTTCCCTATGCTTGGCTTTTTTTCCTTCTAAACCTTTCCTATCCAAGTATTTGTCCAAATGCCTTTTAAATGTTGTTAATGTACCCGCCTCAACCACTTCTGCTGGCAGCGCATTCCATATGCGTGCCATCCTCTGTGTAAAAAAAGAAGTTGCCCGTCAGATTCCCATGTACTCTTTCCTCTCTTGCCTTAAACTGATGCTCACTAGTCTCTGATTCCCCAAGGTTCTTGCAGCAAAATCATGAGAAGTGCTTACATGTGAAACACTTCTCCCTTTTCTTTTACAAACAGCAGGATTATGGTCTTTGAATGTCTGGTGTTTTATTCATACAATATTAACTTTCCAACCTACTGCAACTTACATTACTGCAGTCATGTCGTGGAAATAGTATCAGTGGCACAAAGTCAGTATACGTAACAAAACAATATACGTAACTTCATTCTTATTTATCTTTCGTTGTGTTGGATCTTAAAAAAAATGATACTGTTTGCATAGTTGCACAAGTTCAACACCATTGAAAACAGTGCAGGGAGCTGTAGAGGAAAGAATTGCAAATAAGGGAAAGTAGAGGAATGGGAGGAATTGATGAGAGTATCCAAGTTGGTTTTATGTAAACAACTGTATTGATGTTACACAGAATCTTTATAATGTTTACATTCTAACTAATAAATTAAAAATTCACATACTCTAAAAATTCAAATGAACCAATCAGCAATAAATTTTGGCAGTCTAGTGTTCACCTGGCAAAAAACAAAAACAGCTGCTGCCTGATGATTAAGTGCCAGGAAGCACACAGGAGCCATTTATTCCTTTGTATACTCTGGGCTCCTGACATTTATTGCTTAATTATAAGTTTCAGTATAGAATAGACAGTGTTTGTTTAGTCATAAATACACCATTTTAAAGTTCAGTACAGCCTGCATAAAATCAGTTAAAGAAGTCATATTCCACTTAAAATTTGATCCACAGTATAGTAATTTATATTGTGATGAATTGATCTTAAATGACATTAAAAATTAATCAAAAATTTATATTTCATCTGCGGATTAAGTTTTAAAAATGTTGTGTTTGAATTAGCCTAAATTTTTAATCGGTTGTCATTAAAGATATATTTTTCTCCCTTCTTTTGCATAGTTGGGCAATTAAGTTTACTCTAGCATTATACTTAGTCATTCTCAACCTTTTCTCAACTGGAGTTAATTTTATGCATAAGGCACTCTCAATGGATAAATTGCATCCAAACTGATCAGCAGATTAATTACAATGTTGCAGTCTCCATATTCTGGCCCATCCTTTTGCCAGTGTGGAATTAATTTACCTGATCTGTCATTGTAGCCAAGTCCCTTCATCTCAATGACCCTGAAAAATTGAGATTGCTGGAAAAGCTCAGCAGGTCTGGCTGCATCTGTGAAGAGAAATCAGACTTAACGTTTCAGGCCTGGTGACCCTTCCTCAGAACTGATGGTAGCTAGGAAGGTCTTGGTTTATAAGCAAAAGATAGGGTAGGGGGAGAGTGTGAGGAGTAAACAATAGGTAAGGATAGAGCCCAATGAGAGAGAAGAACAGTTGGACAGACAAAGAAAATGATAACAATCTGGCTAGGAGGGTGAATAGATGTTAATGGACACTGTTAGTGGCTAACAGTAGGTAGTGCGTATTGGCAGGCTATGTGATAACAAGGCCTGGTGTGTGAGGTAGGGGGCTAGGACATGGGAGAGTTCAGGTCCTAAAATTATTGAACTGGACATTGAGTCCGGATGGCCGCACGGTCCCTAAACGGGGTATCCTGAAAAATTGTTGGCATACATCCATTCTAGTCTTTCCAATAATAGAGCACCATGAACTGAACACAGTGTTCTAAATTACATCTCACCAGTTTTCTATATAATAATTGCAGTTACAATTTATTTAATTCGATAAAATGGTAGAAGTTGCAGTGGAGAATGAATGGAGTTATTTGACCCATTGTGAGCCCTTCAGCTTGAGCTAGCTACACTTTCTGTTTCTTGCACTTTCTCCAGCTTGTCTTGTTTATTTTCTTGGCAGGTGCTCATTAAGTGTGTTAAACAGAATAAATGTTCCTTTAACTTTCTCTGTCATGGTCGTTTCACTGTGTCACCAATTCCACCTCCTCAAAGATTACTTATTGTACAAGAACATTTCAAATTTAGCCTCAATAACTTGAGTAAATTCAAACTAAAACTGAGAATATGTGAAACACAGGTTTTTTTTGTAGTCGGACTAAGTTGTAACTTTACACAAGTATTTTTGTAAACCAAAATACATCTGCTACTGTTTCATAACTCACTTTGGGTAAACTGGAATTTTGTTATTACTTTCTCAATACGAATTCCTTTGTCTGATTCTGCTTTCTGTGCGTCAGTGATGATTAGCATGGTACCATAATATGAAAAGCTAGATTATCATGGGTTTTGGAAATGGTTTAAAAATATACATTTTTGCATGATTACTTTCTCTTGTCCGAGGCAGCCAAGATGTCACTGGAGATGTCTATTACTTTAACTTTGTATCGGGCCAGTCAACTTGGGATCATCCATGTGATGAACAGTACCGAAATCTGGTTTCTTTGGAGCGTGAGAAATTGCATGCTCTGAGTGGAAGCAAAAAGAAAGAAAAGAAAAAGAAGAAGGAAAAAAAAGAAAAGAAAGAAAAAGAGCAACTTAAATCTGCCACAGTGAGTCTTAATTTAGTTATGTCAACTGTGCATTGTTTTTTCTTCCCCTCTTTGTCTGTTGTAATTCCATCTTTATTTTCTTTCCTGTTAAAAGGTATTGACCTCCTCACTGCTGTACAGATTCACAGGTGCTGGTGGTTATCTCATTTCCTATGTCAGAGCTTTGTAGATGATCATCAGCAAGCTCTTGCTAAGTCCCGAGCTCACTTGTTATTCACAATTGCGTGCTTTTAGCAATTTTTTGAATAATAATTTTGGACTGGGGGCCCGGTCAAATTGCCTTGAATCTACTTGTTCCCCTACCCTCACGGTATTTAGATGAATTGTAATGCCTCACTGACTGAGTTAATTTAGCACACTGTGATCAAACTTGTGCATATGTAGATGAATTTGGGCAGAATGGCCTGTTTCCCCGTTGTAATTTGCATATGTTTCTATATAGGTGTACTTGCTGTGACTCAGCTTCTTGCTGTGAAAATGGACAGAGCCATTAGATACGGCTTTTTTTCTTTTAACTCCGTTTTGATGCACCAAAGAAATACTAAATTGAAATTTTATTTGTACTTACGCAAAGTAAGTATCTGGTATCAAAGTAATTTAATAAAGACTTGAAAATCCTCTTCAGTCTTCAATGGAATCATTTCTTTGGTGCCTTGAACTACCACTTTTCTCGATTAGTATTCACAGTTCATAGTTAATTAGCATTAAGAATGAATGAAGCATTGCTTTCCACTAAGTAACTCATTCACGTATGAACTGCAATCCCTATTTTTTCTAGTTGTTTTTCAGAGGGGAAATCTGACAAAATGTGATACAAGAGTTGCAAATATTGTCATTTCAAGTTCCAATTATTTATCACAGACAGAGGTGTAAGTGATTATGTGAGTCTTTGTCACATGCAAGTTAGCATGACTATTAAAATAATTATACACATTTTAAAAATTTTATTAATATGATGCCGAATTTTAAATCTTTGCAAATATGATAATTTTAAAAAGTGAAGGTGATTTTACATTCAGATGGCAAAGCTGCAGCTACAAAGCAGAGACAGCTGCAGACGGGATTACTGCACTAGTGGCCCTGACACTCTATTCCAGGCAGTGCTCTGCTTCAGCACAGAACTAAAGAATCACATCTACATTTTCGACTTAAAATGCTGGAAACCTCAGCAGGCCAGACAACATCTGTGCAGAGATGGAAAGAGTTAATGTTTCAAGAATGTTTTGAGTCAATGACCTTTCATCAGAACATCAAAAAGACAAGTATCACCAATGTAAAACATTGATTTTATTTATCTCTTTGTAGATGCTGCCTCACCTAGTGAGATTTCCAGCATCTTCTGTTTCTGATTTACCGAACTAGAATTTGTTCTCCTACAATCTTTAACTTGGTCAAGAACATGAGAATTTGGATTTTAAAATTGTATGACTCCATGTCATTTAAGGAGCAATGTTGACACCTAACTCATTCTCTAAGCTATAAATTATTGGTCTAATTGGACTTCTGCAGGTTTTAAATTTTTGGATTTGCCTATCTATTTGTAATGACTAAGTGGATCATAAGGAGAAAGTGCTGGGGAAGCTGACAGGTCTGAAGGTGAATAAATCACCCGGGCTATACCCCAGGGTTCTGAAGGAGATAGCTGAGGAGATTGTGGAGGTGGTGATCTTTCATGAATACTGGACTCAGAGTCCCAGAGGACTGAAAAATGACAAATGTCATACTGTTTAAGAAGGGAGAGAGGCAGAAGATGGGAAATTACAGACAGGGTAACCTGACCTTGGTTGTTGGTAAGATTTTAGAGACCGTTATTAAGGATGAGATTGTGGAATACTTGGATATGTATAGTAAAATAGAGCTGAGTCAGCATAGCTTCATCGAAGGCAGGTCATGCCTTACAAGTCTGGTAGAATTCTTTGAGGAGATAACGGGCATGTTAAACATAGAAGAGTCAATGATGTATCTATTTGGATTTCCAGAAGGCCTTTGACAAGGTGTCATATAGGAGGCTGCTAAATAAGATGAGCCCTGGTGTTAGGGGCAAGGCAGTGGCTTGGATAGAGGATTGGCTGACTGTCAGAAGGTAGAGAATGGTGATAAAAGAGTCATTTTGAAGATGGCAGTCAGTGACTAGTGGAGTTCTGCAGGGATCAGTGTTGGGACCACAACTATTCACATTATACTTTAACGATTTGGATGAAGGAACAGAAGGCCTTAGTGCTAGGTTTGCAGCTGACACAAAAGAGAGAGTTTTGAGAAATCAGGGAGGCTGCAGAAGGACTTGACAGGATAGAGAATGGACAAAGAAGTGGCAGGATGGAATACAATGTGGGGAAGTGTGAGGTTATCTACTTTGCTGGGAAGAATAGAGGTGTACACAATTTTCTAAATGATGAAAGACTTCAGAAATCTGAAGCACAAAGGGACTTAGGAAACCTAGTTCCAGATTCTCTTCAGGTATACACTTAGATTCACTTGGCAGTTAAGAAGGCAAATGCAATGTTAGCATTTATTGTGAGAGAGTGAAATATAAAAGCAGAGAAGTACTGTTAGTCTGTATAAGGCTCTGGTCAGACTGCATTTGGAATGTCGTGAGCAGTTTTGGGCCCATGTATCCAATGAGGGAAGTGCTAGCCTTGGAGGGGGTCCAGACGAGAAAGAATGATCCCAGGAATGAAGGGCTTGTCATATGAGGAATGGTTGAGGACTCTGCATCTATACCCGAAGTTCAGAAAGATAAGAGGGGTCTGATTGAAACTTGCAGAATACTGAGACACCTGGATAGACTGGACATGGAGAAGAAGTTTCCAATAGTAGGAGAGACCAAAACTCAAGGATACAACCTCAGAGTGAAGGGACAATCCTTTGGAACTGAGATGAAGTGAAATTTCTTCAGCCTGAGGGCGGTGAACCTGTGGAACTCATTGCTGCAGAAGGCTGTTAAGGCCAAGTCTTTGAAACAGATAGGTTTTTGATTTAGTAAAGGGATCATGGGTTACAGAGAAAAGGCATCAGAATGGAGCTGAGAAACATGACAGCCATGATTAAATGGCAGAGCAGACTCTATGGGGCGAATGGTCTCATTCTGCTCCTTTATCTTATGGTCTAATGGTCTAAATGCTGAAGTGAAAAATAATCTTACAACGGAACAGGGCTACTATTAACATCTTTTAAAGTCAGTTTTTATTCAGTACCTCTGCTTGTATTTTTTTTCTGTGCTTTTGTTAGTTTTTTAAGTGCATGATATGTGGAAAAAATAAGTTATAGCAAAATAAGCCAGTCTAAAATGCTAACCGCAATGTGTCCAGCCTTCCTCCACTCTATTCTGTATTGTAAACTGATTATTTTCAAACAATTCCCACTTACTTTGGGATTCCAGATACATTTATGGCTATCAATGTAGAGGTTTGTTCACTTTTATGAAGTATTGGGCAACAGGGAATTAGCCTCTCCACAAAGTTCCATAATCGTAAACTGAGTAGCAACATGTAACATAATTCACAGTTAGGAGAGGAAATATTTAAAATATCTCCAAGCTGAATTACACATTATCTTCAAGCCTTTTTTTATCCTTTGTTTAGGAAAACAAGTTAGAACCAGGAATACTTCCTCCTTCATCTTATTGTAACCTAGCTCATGATCCTCCTCACCATTTTACAAGTCTTGAGTGTTTGCCTGATACTCAGATTAGGATTGATGATACAGACCAGAAAGAGGTCAGGCCCTTGCAACCATCTTTGAAGCCATTCCTAGTCAATAAATCTATAACTGTCAATTTCCCAAGTAATCTACAAGCTCTTAAAAGAGAAAATGTTAATAAAAAAATATTTGCAGACCTCGAGAAAATTCTGGGAAAAACAGTTTCTTTCAGTCCAAGACTTCTAGCTAGTCGCAGTGATCTGGATAGGCCGGAAGAAACCAGGAAGGGTCCTGAGGCAGGTAGATGCTGGAGTTTCTCTGACTTCAATTTGGATAGAATGAGCATAGGAGATGTAATAAGTAAAGAGCCAGCTAACATACCAAAGAAGTCAACAAAGTGTGAGAAGTTTGCAGAAACGCTACAGCCTGACAGCAAAAGAATGTCATTTGCACTTGAGGAGCAGGTAATTGTATTCAGTAACACAGAAAACGAGAAAATATCCATCGAAAATCTTCAGAAAAGTAATCCAAATCAGAATAAACAACCAATTGATGAAATACCACAGAGTATTGTAGAAGAAAACCAAGTTAATGAAAACTTGCCAGAGGACTATATTGAGGGGATTGTTGTCTTGCCAGTTTGTGACACGGAAAATTCATGTTGCAATCCTGTCTGTAAAGCTAATATGCCACAGAGTGAGTACTTAAAGATGCCAACATTAAGTGTTGAAGAGTGCTTGATTACAAAGGTGCAAACTGATCAGAACAAATTTGATAGGGTAATAAGTGAGCCCAGGCTGCGAGACTCCAAAACTGTGCAAAATGGACAAACCACTGAACTATTTGAGAATCTAGCAACTGGAAACATCAAACTTAAACCAGTTGGCTGCTTATGCAAAGTCTTAACCATAGAAAAACTTCATGATACAGAAGGCAATATAATGAAAACATTGAACAAAGTTAATATTCCTGAATCAAATTTGAGTGAATTAGTTAACAAAGAATTAGTTACTGAAAAAGTTGACAGAAACTCTTTTATTTCAAGTTCTTTGAATCATGTGCCACAGAAAGATGACCACAGTATGTATGATATTCTTGAACAGGACAAGGATTTTAAATCAGAGAAAAATGTCACCATAGCCACTCTAGATTGTGATGTTCATAACTACTTCAATGAGCCGAACTTGAACAATTTGGGAAAAGAATTTGGCAGCTTGTCATCTTCACATGCATTTCTGAAAGAAAATAATGCCACTGCTTGTGACAGCTGGCTTCACAGTTCAGTCTGCAAGGAGTGTGAGGAAGATTCTTATTCAGAGGATCAGAGATTTTACCAGGAAATTCTCAAAAAAGTAAAAGCA